TGACTCCGGGTTAAGCTCGGCTCCGAAGCGAAAAAGCAACTAGTGCGTGCATCCACATCCTTATTTATACCCATGCCGCGGGGGCGGAGTGTGTGATGCGAATGCAATTCCATTGGCTCGTTCAATAGTATTCGAAGAACATGGGCTCTCTGACGTGATCCCCATTCAGTCGACCGTCGACTACGTCCTCACCGTTCCCTCCTTTAGCGATTCCTTACACAGAGATTTTGGATTTTATTGACATATTTAGATATACAGGAAATCGTAATGGAAGACGATTTCGATATTTAGATCTTCACAGTGAAAGGTAAAACTTCCGAAATCTCTGTGTAAACACAATGAGTGACGTACATGCGCGAGAGATCACTTCCGGTGCTTTCTTCGTGTCTTAGGCCATCAATGTGTACTTACATTTACGAGTTATTAAATCATGTTTAATTTGGACTTCATGCTTCATGCATGCTTTTTCCAGTGGACCCATGGGTGAACCCCATAAAACTCCAATATATGACTGACAGACAAGAACGGATCGACCTAAAAATATCAAAATTGAAAATACTGTGGAAAAAAAGACACCTGCATCTTGGATGCCCTTGAGGCAAGTGTGACGGTTCAATGAGTGGTTGTGCTCATGTGTTTGTCCCCGAGTTATAGGCTGATTGCTGGAGGGCGTGGCTTTACACCTAAACCAGATCATGGCGTTTTAAAAGACACTGGGTCAAACAGAGAGAGTCGACGATGGCTCGCTGGTGTTGTGAACTTCCAGAGAGCTCACAGGACATAATGGGTCATGGGAGAGCACAACCACTTCGGAGATCTAATGTGATGTACTTCCCCTGATGAGGATCTTTTGATTTGGATTTTTTGTTTATGTTTGGTTATGTTTGGTTGAACTGACACCACTTGAGCTTGTTACTTACAAATACATGCTGACATACTTACTAACATTTATACTGATCTCTTGACATATCATATTTAATTACTTTATGTAAATAAATCTTATGGTTTATGCAGCGGTTGTGTGGCGTCTCCCTTTCTTTGTTGCGATCTTTGAGAAGAATCGTAACAAATGGGGGCTCGTCCAAAAGAGTAATTCACAAATGAGAGTTCGTTCGATTAGATATTGTTTAGCTCATTTGGTTGATTAAGTGCTCGGTTGAATGATAATTTGGAAAAGTTAATCCTTGTTTATTCATATTATTTTTGAAATAGGCCTACATTTAAATTTGTTTTGTTCTGTGAGTTAAAGGTAGTCGTCATTTGAAGGTAAGTGCATTTTTATTAGGGTACAGATGAAACCTCATTCATTTTCCCCTAGTAGGTAGTAGCAACGCTTTGCGTTGATTTGTTATTTTGCCTTTTTTATTTTTGTGCAGGCTTTTGGGTGAAGCCAGTGGTGGAAAGAGTACTGAAAAAACATACTCAAGTAAAAGTACCATTACATTCCAAAAAATGTAGTGTGAGTAGAGTAAAAAGTACTTGTCCAAAAAACTACTTGAGTAAGAGTAAAAAAGTAGCTTATTTAAAAGTACTCAAGAGTAGTGAGTACTGAGGTGCGGATTCTAACCCTTATAATAAACACTGTGCACTACAATTTGAATTAAAAAAAAATGCACATACTGTAATTCACATTATATTTTGTTCTTTGTAAGAAAGGTTGAAGAATATCTATCATCCATCTTTTTAAAATGCATCAAATCAGTACACTCATCACCATTTAAATCATATTATTTGGGGGAAAAAAGCATTTAAAATTAGGCGAAAAGCCACTGGGCCTGAGCATGTTATTGTTGCACATAAAATATCAATATTCATAACTGTGCAAAGAATTCAAAAACCTTTAGAAACTCATATGATAGTTCAGCATCACACACCAAGAGATGGGTTAAATAAAATAAAAAATACCCAATTTCTCTCCAAAACGGTACCAATGTTAGTGTTTTGAGAAATGGGAATCACTAATATTATCATATTACCTCAACTAATGCACTGAAAAAGGCTAAGATAGTGAGCTAACACTTTTATTCCATGCTATGTTACAATTTAAACGTAAATGCATTGTTCTAGAAAGGTGACATCATCCCTTCCATTTTACACGGCTACATTTACTCACATTGTAATGTTGATAATATATTTTATAAGGAAAATTGTGCATTTAATATAGGGAAGTTATATCCAGGAAACTTTTACAAAAGAAACAAACAAACATGCTTTGTCTCTGAAGTCTCGGCGAAGCTGTTTTATCAGCAGCATCCACAAAAAAAAAACATGAAACATGAAAAATGTTTTTTGCGCAAGTGCACTTGCCAAATGAAGACGGATCATATAATGGATCAATCAAAAAACGTTGTTTATTAACGAGCTGTGCTAATTTCGTATTAAGTAATGCAGTTCAAGTTAACGACATGGTGCACTGATTCTGAATCTAGCGGCATGGCGAGCGCGAGACGCGGCAGTGCACAGAATCAGATCGTGACGCGCGTCTCTCCTGTGATTGTGAAGTAAATGGGAGCGGGAATTCACCGCATTATGAACTCGTCTCGCAATTTCCCCAACCTCAGACCAAATGTTAGGCCATGTAGACAGGCCAGCCTATATAAATATCATATTAGGCAGAAATGTGAAATGTACCTTAGCATATTAGAGGAAGACGCTGATATCTGGATTGAATTGATGCGTGATGAATGCACTTCCACAGCAGTCACGAGTAACAGCAGGAATAGGTTAAAGTTAGTCATAGTTAAAGTTTTCTATGCTTAATTTGATTTGATGACAGTCACGAGACCGATTACTCGATCCAATCACGTTGATGGATAAAAATGAAATTAAAACAAGCATGTAACGAGTAACGGCCACAAACAGAAGGAAAATAGCGGAGAAAAAGTACAGATACATCACTTAAAATATAATCAAGTAAAAGTAAAATTACACAATTTTAAACTTACTCAAAAAAGTACAATTTCTGAAAAAAACTACTTAATTACAGTAACGTGAGTATTTCTAATTCGTTACTTTACACCCCTGGGTGAAGCACACCGCCGTGGCAACGGATTGGGCTGTACTGCTCAGTTCGGAACCATCGGTATCTGGTGTTTAATGCCGCTTTGCATGAAGCTGCATGAAGATTAGGCATAGTGCAGTTTAGTGGGTATATAAACATATCAAAACATATCAAAAATTAATTTCAAAGTGAACTATCCCTTTAATACAGTCACAGTTTTTGTTATTTTTGTACCAAAATGTATTTTCGATGCTTCAAAACATTCTAACTGATGTCACATGGACTACTTTAATGATTAACTATTTCATTTCTGGACAAGGACAGTATACCGTACACATTTTTAATGGAGGGACAGAAAACTTACGGACTAAATCTAAAATATATTAAACTGTGTTCCGAAGATGAATGGAGGTCTTACGGGCTTGAAACGACATGAAGGTGAGTTATTAATGACATCATTTTTGGGTGAACTAACCCTTTATGGCCACGGAGGATACATCTGATGCATCCTTCAAAACAGGCTGAATCAAGGACGCGAAACTAAGGCTGCTTTATAGGGAATTGAGATGGCCTCCAGTGAAGTTTGATGACGTGGCAGCCGAGATATGCATGCAGCCTTAAAGGGGACATATCATGCAAAATCCACTTTTTTAGCCCTTAATGCATTTTGTTGTATATTTGGAGTGTTTATAAGTACAGAAAAGATTAAATTATTCTCTTCAGGTGCTTCGTTTATATCTTTATATTCTGTTTTGGTCATATTTTTCAACCTGTTCAGATTTTTCTGTTCTCTATTATGTTTTTTGAACAATTACATCACAGTATTTGCAGCGGAACTGACAAATAAGGACATTGACTACCAGCCCAACACTTCGAGCAATCCGCCATTATTATTTCTCGCTCCAATTTTGTAGTCCAAGCTCAATGATGCAGAAATTACGAGAGGGCAAGTCAAAATGTTCGGTTGTTGGATGTAGTGACCTGAAGCACTTTAAGGATTCCAACTTCAACAACCTCCGCCAGTATAACGAAGTGTTTGCCGATTGACTTCGTCTGAATGAGGGGTAAATTCCTTCTATCATTTAGCTGCTGTGTTTTCTGATGCTTTTCTAAACGTAAATTATTATATTATCAATACAGATTTTTAGTGGTAAGATTAGACCGTAGTCATTTATCTTGTCAGTGTGCTTGTTTTAACAAGAGAAATAATTGACTTTCACTTATAACACAATACAGTTACATACCACTGCATCCATATGAAGACGTTGTTCTGCAGGTTTGTCGTCGTCTTTTCAAATCGGTCGCTCTGGCTCGAATATAAAAGGCTTGATGGACAAGTCTTCCGTTGTTGACATTTTGTTAACGTGTGAATAAAAATGTTCTTTGAAGCTATAGTAATCGTATATCTCTAATCAAACTACAAGAATGGCCGAACGGGGGGAGTTGAACCGACCGTGAACTCGGCGACCTGGAGAGGGGGTGGGGTGTAACACATCCCCCTTTTATTTAAAGGGGCCGCTTTAAAACGACTTGCTCACAGACGCACATCAGAAAAGGGGTAGAAAAAGGGCCTGTGGAGCTATAAAAATGAGGAATTAAGACCCAAGCATTGCAGTTATGCTTTATATAGACCACAAATCTATGATTTATATGTAAAAATGAATGATTAAAAAGCATGATATGTACCCTTTAAAGGAGAACTCTGGTCAATTTTAACATTGAGCTCATTTTTTTGTACATTTGGAGTGCTGTCAGTACAGACAAAAACGACAAAAATCTGTGTTGCCTACACCGTGTTATCCTCTTTTTAAAATTCGCACCCTGTTGACTTTAATGGGGCAAGTTCTAAACCTGCTTTTAACCTCTTAACATCCTTGATTTTAACATCCTTAACATCTTTGATTACGTACAGTATCCAGTGAAATGCTTAAAATTCATAACTAAATTCATAAAATTTGAGTGTGTATGCTTCACATGATCTGTTGCAGAAGTTTCTAACCTCAGAAAGAGCTTCCTTTGCAGCCTTTGTCTGATCAGTCTGAGCGGTGATCTGAACCTCATACAGAGAGATCTGCTCTGAGAGCTTTTCAACATGCATCGTCAAACGCTCAACATAAAGATCCTGACAAAGAGAAAGAGAGAGGTGTATAAACAAACATCTATTGGAGTTTCAATGAAATGGGAAGAATGCATTTTATCATTTGTTTGTATTATCTGATACTTTTATAACATTAACGCAGAAGAACGTCTCGGTTACGGATGTAACCCTCGTTCCCTGAGTAGGGAATGGAGACGTTACGTCAGAAGTGACGGAGAATGGGGGTTTCGCATAGAAAGCCATTCCTCTTCGAGTATTTAATAATGAGCCAATGGCATGAAATGCCTTGGGGCTGCGGAATTTGCATAGCATCACCCCGCCCCACCCCGTGGGTATAAAAGGAGGAAGTGAACGCAACCGCAGTGTGTCTTCACTGAGGAGCCAAGACTGAACTCCGGCGTCTACCCAGTGGTACAGCAGAAGTGGCAAGGAGACGTAACGTCTCTGTTCCCTACTCAGGGAACGAGGGTTACATCCGTTACCGAGACGTTCCCTTTCGTAGTCACTTCGAGTTACGTCAGAAGTGACGGAGAATGGGGGTCTGTGCCATCACATCGCAACTGTAGCGGTATTGTCTGAACGGACAAGTACGTGTTGACCCCTGAGCAGTGCTCGAAAGCGGTGCAGGGCCAGGCGTACTGCCAGCAGCTCGAGGCAATTGATGTGCATGAGGCGCTAGGGTCCTGTCCAGGAACCCGTGGCTGCATGCCCATTGCACATGGCACCCCAACCCGTGGTAGATGCATCCGTGGAGACAACGAGATGCCTGGAAACTCGCTGACGTAAAGCTGAGGTTCGACCAAGGGAAAAAGGTTTGGCGGCACGCTGGAGTCACTGGAACTCTGAGCGAGCCGCGATGCCATGCCCACCTCGGGACTCGATCGCGAAGCCACAGCTGAAGCGGTCTCATATGAAGCAAACCGAGCGGCGTTGCTGCGGCTGCGGATGCCATATGCCCCAGGAGCCTCTGAAAAAGTTTCAGTGGGACCGCACTCTTGCCCTCGAACTGTCGAAGACAAGTCAGCAGTGAGTGCACGCGCTCGTTCGTGAGCTGCGCGGACATGGCGACCGAGTCTATCTCCATGCCGAGAAAAGAGATCCTCTGCACGGGGCAAAGTTTGCTCTTCTGCCGGTTGACCCGAAGGCCCAGACGGGCTAGGTGCCGGAGCACCAGGTCTCTGTGTTCGCAAACCTGTTCTCGAGAGTGTGCCAGTAACAGCCAATCGTCGAGATAGTTCAGGATGCGAACCCCGTGTTCACGAAGGGGAACAAGGGCTGCCTCGGCGATCTTCGTGAAGACGCGAGGTGACAGAGCTAACCCGAAAGGGAGAACCGTGTACTGATATGCCTGGCCTCGAGGCAAACCGAAGAACGGTCTGTGTCGAGGCAAAATGGAGACATGAAAGTAGCGTCCTTCAGGTCGATCGCTGCAAACCAATCCTGCTGTGAACATTTTGAACGGCAGTCAATGGAGAGTACGGTTCAAAATGCGCAGATCCAGGATCGGTCGTAACCCACCGGTCTTCTTGGGGACAGTGTAGTAGGGGCTGTAAAACCCGGACCTCACCTTGGCTGGAGGGACCATCTCGATTGCACCCTTCACCAGCAGGGCCGCAATCTCCGCTCTCATGACCGGGGCATTGCCACCGACCATAGAGGAGCGAACTCCCCTGAACGGGGAGGAGACCGTGCGAACTGAGTCGCGTAGCCGAATCTGATCATTCTGATGACCCAGCGGGACAGGTCGGGGAGCTCTAGCCAAGCTCCCAGGAACTGAACCAGCGGAGTCATGCGAACCACAGACGTCCCCCCGGAGGGGCAGCGGTACGGGGAGACCGGCATGCGCACAGAAGCTACCCCGTGCGGATGCACAGTCGAGCCCCGTTCCCCGCCAGAAGAGACCAGGGAAGGACGCACGTTCCACGGGGGTCTGTTCTGCCGGGGGTCTGGCGATAGAGGGGGAGGGGAGTGTTGTAGTGGAGGGACGACACATGCTCCCATCCGCACCCTCAGAGACAGAGAGGAATGAGCGGGGCGACGCAATGGAACGTCGTGCGTGCTCATTCCAGTCTGTGTGCTCAATGATAGTGTCAAGTTCTTCTTCAACCAGCTCAGGGCACTGCTCACTCGTGGGTGAGTAGCGGGGAGCTAGAACAAAAGATTCTCCCCCAGCCCTCCACCGGGGGAAGGAGGGGCCCTGCTACTGCCTCCTATGAAAAACCGTGACACTATCACTGAGCAGCCCGCCTCAGGAACATCGCTTCGCCTGGCGTTAGCGGGGCACGCGGCCTGAGGGGGCTGTGACGCTCACCTGTGGCCTCCTCCGTGAGGCGAATCGGCTGAAGACTGCTGCTGGGGCCGCGTGGGAGGGAAGGGAGCCGCAGGGGGGCGTCCTCGGCGGCGAGCAGGCTGAGGCAGAAGTGTAAACCCGCCTCCGTCTGCTCCTAGGCGGTCGAGAACTGCTGGGCGAAGTCCTGGACCGCACCGCCGAAACATAGATGATGCTCCTGGACCACAGTGGTGGCCATCACCTGACCAAGGGAGCGAGCGGCCGCTTCCGTCGCCCGTTTGAGAGCGAGGTCGGCGGCAGGCTCACAGATCGCTTGGCCGTCATCGCGGCATCAGACACGGCCAAGTTGACGCTCCCGAAGGAGGCAACGCAGCCGCATCCTCACTTCCCGAGGAGTCAAGCCCGCCTTGTGATGCTCCGATCGACATCGCATCATCCTCTGGAGCGCTAAACGAAACAGACGGTACCTGCGAAGAGCCAGACGCCTGAAGCGATACAGCGCTCGCTGGCTCTAACACTGGAGCGGTGGGTGTGGCCCGAGGAGCTAGCGTCGGGGGTTGTGCCACACAATCACCGTCATATCACCCTGTCCCCGATTCGAAGAGCTTCTAGAAGAAGAAGCAGAACGAGTAACGGACATGGGGACTCTCACTTTATCAGATCATTGAGTCTAGATCACAGTGTAGAGATGCTCATGTTCCCACAGAAGGAACATGAGTCATCCACGAACGCTGCTACTGCATGCTGAAAGCCCAGGCACACAGAGCAGCGATCGTGACCATCAAAAAAATGACATGAATCGATCGCACCCAGAAGAACACGGGCGAACCGTCTTTAAAAAGACGTGCCGCGTGCAGCTCTTTCACTAGAGAGGAGGAAATTCACTATTTCAGCGCCGAGGCGACCAGGGAGAAGCGCAAAGTCTGGCAGACCACTGCTCAGATCGCAGGCAATGCAGAGCCTCGCTGGGTACCGCCGTCACACCAACACTGAAGAGGACGCTCGTCTCGAAGAGTCTTGAATCAGTGAGAATGGCTTGTGAAGAAATCTCTTGGCTCCGAAGCGAAAACATACTGCGGTTGCGTTCACTTCCTCCTTTTATACCCACGGGGTGGGGCGGAGTGATGCTATGCAAATTCCGCAGCCCCAAGGCATTTCATGCCATTGGCTCGTTATTAAATACTCGAAGAGGATTGGCTTTTTATGCGAAACCCCCATTCTCCGTCACTTCTGACGTAACTCGAAGTGACTACGAAAGGGAACTATAATTTTCTGGTTAAATTAGTTATATGAGTGATTCATATGAGCTCAAACAAATGAAATGGACACATTTGACAAAAAGCATGTGCTCTGGAACTCCACCTGCTGATATTTTTGCTCCTCTGCCTGCGTTCTCTCTTTCTGGACTTTATGTGAAGCATTCATTATTGCTTTGATGTCTGAACGCAGGTCACTATTGGCCTCCTGCATGTAGAGCAACTTTAGGGCCAGGTTGTCCACTTTAGATTGTAATTCCGAGACTATGAAGAGAGCACATGATCAAGGCAAGACTTACAAAGATTTTCTGTCTGCACCCCTGGCGTCACCAAACAGAATTGTAAAATTATTATTTTCAAATCATTTTCAATCTGCCAATCCTAGATTCATTTATTTGATTCATTTAATTATCGCAAATTTTTACACAATTATCTTGAAATGTGATTTTTTAGAGAAAATGTTCTCTACTGTTAAAATGTTCTCACTATTTTTGTTATTAGCAGGGTTATTATCATTAACTAAAACTAAACATTTTTGTTAATTGAAATTAAGCTGAAATAAAATATAAACATTAGATTAAAAAACATAAACTAAACTAAAAGAAATGAATGTTAGAAATGTTGCCTTAGCAACTAACTGCAATAAGTGTAAGTTTAAGCACATACAATATAAAATGAAAATAAAAACTAAAACTGAATTAAAAATAAAACTGAAATATATACAGTATATAAACTTGAATAGTACATAAGTAATACTAAAATAACACAGAATGATAGATCTTCTCACCTTGCATTTGTTGTTTTTTGGCCTGACTGGCAGTATCTTGGTACTGATTTTTTACCCTATCCAGCTGGTCTTGGGCCTGTCTATGATGAGCAACAGTCTGGGCATTGGCCTCATGACTTGCTTCCAGAGAGGCCTGGAGTCTGGCCAACATCTTGTGGACCATGTATACCTCTTCAGCAAGGTTATGGCACCTCTGGGCCTCTGCCTTCTCCACTACTATCTGCAGCAAAGCAATTATGATCAGTTTCCTTGGCGTCTGTTTGTATGCAAGTATGTGTATTTATTTCTCGAAGAACAGAATCAGTCATTTCTGGCCAATATGCATTATGGTTACGTTTATGAAGAAATACCCATTTCAATCACTTGTAGACGAAACTACTAATCATTTTTGACAGATTTCTTACCTTTTCGCCGAGCTCAAGGTGCAATCTCTCCACCTGATTGCTGAGGTTTTTTTTCAATGCAGACTGGAATCTTTTCATTAAAGGCTAAAGAACACGGGGCATTCGAAAATGTATTAAAAATATGAAAAATGCACTGCTTTGGAAAAAAAAACACATTAGGTATACACACATGCTCAGGATCCAGCACCACAGTTTCTTCCTCTTCCTCGTATTCCTCTCCGGCTCTACTTTCTGCCTCAATGTCACTGATCTCCAGCTGGAAAGTGTGATGTGGTATAACAGGTGTCCACCTGTGGTTTATATCTGCACAAAAACAGAACAAAAACTGAAATTACCAGTAAATCCTTCAATATAGGCTAATTATTACATGAAACTAAGATACCAGAATTGTCCAATTGAAAGTATCCACTGGTCCCAACATGATCGATGTCTCTGTCATAATTGTCTGAAAGCTCCATCGATTCCACCTATAAATAAAATCATTAATACACCACTCTACATTACAATATGTATATAAAACTAAAAACTTGAGTTCACAAGATTTGCCCTGATTTTTAGGAAAAATGAAAAACTAAAGTAAAAAATGCTGTTATCAAATCTGATACCATCTGTATGATGAATGGCTTTGGAATAATAAAAATGAAAGGTTTGTGTAAGAGACCTCTTTAGGCTCAGTGAATTCACCCGGAGCCTCTTCCTGCCTGTTCATCTGATCCTCTGGGAGACCTCCATCACACCCACCGCTTTCCATCTCTTCATAGTCATAAATAAAGTAATACAACATAGACATACACATATATAAGTATATATAATACATTAGCAGGATATGACAGATTCATTTTATTTTAAATTGTCACCTGTTTCCGTTGTATCTTGTTCCTGAGTAACGTTAACGTTAACTTAGCAGAGAGCTGTTATGAAGCAGTATTTCCCCAAATGTATTAACAGTAATCGTTCAATCAGCAATACTACATCCAAAATTCAGCTGAATTAATGATTCATTTTATTCTGGTTAAATAATTGATTTATGTTATTTCTGTGTTGTTACCATTTAGCAGCGCGAGACCTGCGGTTACTTTGCATCTCCGTTGCTGGGAGACGCCACACTTCCGGATTCGCTCCTCCTATAAAAACATATGTATCTGCGTTTAAAAAAAAAAAAAAAAAACAACCTCAAACAACAAGATATAAAACGTAGAAGACTTCTTAAAAGTACTTTTTTTCAATACTAACTTGTTTACTTATACTTGTTTACTGAATATAAAAAAGAAGCTTTGGGCCAGAGAATGTCTCTGTTTGGGCTATAAAATCTCCCACACAGTAGGTGGCGGTGTCTTGCTTTCCGCTGGCTTGAGAGAGCGCGAAGAAAGCTGAGCTCAAGCTGTATTGCGCGCGCATCATCATCATCGGAGGAGATGAGATGGTATTGATGTGAAAACATCGACGTAGAGAGATTGATCAATGTTTATACATTTGTGGGTCAGTATTATTAAAATATTTTTTTATAATTTACCATTGATCATGCACGGAAACGCCACATGTTTAGAATGGTAATACGTTCGTATTATCAGGCTAGTGTTTCACTTATAGCTGAGCTGACATGGTTGGATATGTCAGCAAAACGAAAAACTACTAAAACGAATAATATCATACAGTACAATGTTTTATTACAGTACATTTTTATGACATATTCAAATATCTGGGTACACAAACATGTTATTCATCCAGTAAGTTACCATGGTACGTTATATATCCAAGACGTGAAATTATTATTCGCTAATGGAGTCTCCACTTTTTTTTTTACAAATAATTTTGCAGTACTCACACAGGACTGGAAAAGTCCAGGGGTTGGTTGCATAAACCGCAAAGACTAGTCTAACAAGTTGAAAGACATCATATTTTATGACATCAGACTATTCATAGCTCTCTCTGTTTTTAAAAGTTACTTAAAAAGGTAGATTACCCTAATTTGGTACCGAAAAGAAAGGCTGACTGACTTACGAAATAATGTGGGTCATACTAGGAGAAACTACTACATTCTACACTGTCTTAACACAATGGCAACCGGCCCTAGGAAAATCATTGGTAAAAAGGTGTGGGAATCCTCCAGGCTTAAATCAGTGGCATGGTATCATCTTATTCCATCATTTTACCATAATACTGCCATGGTGCCTTTTGCATTAGAGGAAATCTTGTTTTCAAAAAACTCTGTTCTGTGTTTTTGTGAATTCCAGAAGTGATGAAGGTTAAAATAAAGCAGTGGAATGGTGTGGCATCCTGGTTGTGGGTGGCCAATGATGAGAACTGTGGCATCTGTCGAGCCCCTTTCAATGGATGCTGCCCAGACTGTGGGTAACCTGATTTCACTGTATCATGGACAAAGACTAGACTTCCACCTGTGCCTTTGCAGTTTTTTCATGAAATTTTCAGTTTTAATCCTCATGAAATCCTACTGTTTTATTTCCAACATATAGTTATTTGTGCAACTTGTTTTGTGTAATTGAACCATAAATATTCAGTGTAAGAAAATGAAATGTACTCTCTGGTTTTATCAGGTAAGGTCCCAGGTGATGACTGCCCATTGGTTTGGGGTCAGTGCTCTCACTGTTTCCACATGCACTGCATCTTGAAGTGGCTAAATTCTCAACAAGTACAGCAGCAGTGCCCAATGTGCCGTCAGGAATGGAAGTTTAAAGAGTGAGCTCGTCTGTCAACAGCACGACACTTGGATTTTCAGTAAAAAATTCTTAAAAGTGATATTTGGGTGACTCCTATCACAGTAATAATGTTCTCTCTTTTTTTGTATTCAGGGGAGACACTTCCTAAGGAGATCAAATAAATGCATCACAGATTGATTCTTTTGTTTCTTTATTATAATGTTGTTTTCTTTGTGATGAATATACCACAAAATAACTTTCATATTTAAAAATGGTTGGTATGGTTTTGTACAAAACAGCTGACTGTGATTTGCAGTCAAAGAGAATTATGAAATTTTCAATTATGAAAACAGTAAAGAATGTCACAGAACACTGACAGTGGTATGCATTTGTACATATAATAACTGACATGAAACTCCCACCATTTAAAATTGATACCAATCTCTTACCTTCATTAGTTATTTTGAGAAAGTACGTTGTTACTCATTCTTATCTAACATTATAGTAATTTGTAAAATGTAGCTTGCATATATGTCTTGATGTATTGAGATTTTATCTGCCTTGGTTGTCTGTAAGTCATATGGTAATTCTTGATTATAACCATTCTTATAAAATAATTCATAACAGGCACCACTCTGAACCTCATTACTGAATGTATACTAAATAATTGACTCAATTGAATAACAAATAGCAAGCTGCCAACATACAACTGAGACAAAGGTATTGAAATAAACTAATGCAGAAATGTTGAAGGATGCGAGGAACTGAAATAAGAAAGCATTATATAACATTAAGCCATAGAAATGTGACTTTCAAAAGAGTGGCACTGGCACATCCCTGTTGTTGAGACATCATGGCTAATCTGAACAAGTTATAACTTCAAAGTAAAAACAATGTAATTATTCAGAGTAAACATGCATTAGTCTAGTCCAGTCCAAATCTTTGTGCTGTATTCTTCTTACAGACATCTGTAACCAAGAAGGTATTCAGAGTGTTTTAATGTTTGTGAAACTTTGTTTACATTAGTAAAACTGAAAGTAATCATGCAAATTTGTTTAAAGTAAATATGAATAGGAACCAAACAAAAAGGATTTTAAAAATGGAATTCAAATAGAGAAAAATGACCTTATTTCAGTGCATTTTCAGAAACTATACATACATTCTTGGGAGAAAAAGGGCTACATGAAAATAACATTTATACCAGAGGAGTAAAATAAGGTTGGGAATAATTTGAAGCACTGACTCAAATTGCCCTATAACCACCATTTCTTATAAAAACTGCCTAATTGACTATAAAATAGCTTTTATAAACATGCATTTGAGGAAAAAAAAAACATTACTGGTGTGCATCTTGACAGAGCAGTAGCACTAACAAATTTTAAGGGATGCCAGTGCAAGTTGCTTTCAGTTAATACAGCTCAAACATGTATTTTAGTCTGGGACTAGGCTTAATTGTCTATGAAACCAGGGGCCTATGTTTTTATTTTACAAACCTGGTTAATTCAAATTGTAAGCCTGGATAAATTAAAACATTTCAATTGTGTTTTAAAACCATTCCTTAAAATATAAAGCACACTGGGCGCTTCCTGAATTATATAAAAAAAAAAAAAAAAAAAAGTGCAATTCAGTGCAGAAAACGGGTTCAGTTTGCCTATGAGCACATGATCCAATCTTTTCTGTTTCCTTTCATCATCTGAAGAAAAATAATGTGGCCGTTGAATAATTGTCATGAATTTTTTTTTTGTAAGTTTTGTGAAACATTTTGTTGGTTTGTATGGGTGATAATCATATATCAAAAAGACATGCTTTTGGCATATATGCCTCTTTACATAAGCATTAATAGAGTGCTGCAGGGATCATTCATTTTTGTAGACCAAACATTTTAGCACTACCTGAATTTAGCATCGAATTTAGCATTTAATGGGTTTTTGGTTAAATACCTGAAGTAAGGTAACACAAGCTCAAGATATTTCCATGTTTTTATTTCACGACATAAAATACATCAGTTATACTCCTTTGTATTTTTTAAAATCTAATACTTGCCTTGAAAAAGGCAGGTGCTAACATGTGGTTAAATGGGAATACAGAGTTTGTTGGGGCCATTAAACATCATCACACAGGTATTACTTGATTTTTTTCTTTTAGAGCCTAAATGGGTTTATAATCTCACTCTTGAAAACTATTATAACCCAAGCTTTCAAGGAAATAAAAAAAATACATACAAATTATTGGAAGCTTAATGGTGGTGACATGGAAGTCGACTGAACTGTAGTTCGTTTATAGCCTACAATTGGCTTTTTACTTCTGCCAATAGTATTAAGGCTTCAAAATTCATAAAGGTTGGGTTAATTTTTGAAGATTATCACATTGAACAAAACATACGATTGTAAGAATCATAACCTTTTGTTGGTCACAGCTTATGTTCTGCAACAATCCAAAAGCCAATAGAAAAATCCTGATGGGTTTTTGTCTAGGGCAACTAGGGTGATGCTAACTTCTGGTTTGGCCTACAAAAATATACATTCTTGGAAGAAAAAAAGTGCTACACAAAAAAAAATAATATCTGGAGAAATATAAAAAGCTATAGGTTATAAACATTATTTCAGGGAGAATCTTTTGTTTTTATACATTGGACGAAGTAGGCATCAATGAACAAGGCTTATCACTTGAATGGATATGGATCAGGGATCAGCAGATAATGGTCTGAATAAAATCAGTGCATCAGGCAAGACGTTTATGCTGTATCAGTCTGTTTAGATTTAAAAATTCATAAAGACTTCTTGGAGTCTTGTGTGTTTCTCCTTTTCACATCATTCAAGTCGACTGGTGTAAAAGCTGAAGATTAGAAACAAACAGTTAGAGAGCATGCATGCATAGTATTTCAGTTGAGTCTTTAAGAAAATGCACACATTTGTTAAGAGACACACATCCCCCCCTAGCAAGGTAAACCAGGGAATAGCTGATGGCTCAGCCAAATATTTAAACCATTATTAATTATTTACCCCTTAGCAAGGAAAACCAGGGAATAGCTAATGGCTCAGCCAAATATTTAAACCATTATTAATTATTTATCCTTCTAAAACATTCCTTTATCAATAAAATATATTTCCCAGGACAAAAATCACAAAGTTAAACATACAGCTCAGTGTAGGGTTTGGCATCCTCTCCACATACTTCTGGGGTCCCTGGTTATTGTTTTCACTTCCCTGGCAAGTCTGCATTTCTCTCATTACACGCTGCCAAGCTATTGGAAGAAGTGTTGATGTTATTTAAAACTCTAATTCCCAAACATACAAAAGTATATTTTTGATGGGCCACTGATTATTTATGTTTTTCAGACCTTTTGAAAAGATTTCCAAAACTCGTATTCGGCAACTTACTGTAATGAATGAATCGCACATTTTCCTCGTGTGCTGGTGTGAGTAGATCCTCTGTGTTGGTTGGGGAACAGTCTCCGGACATCTGCTTGTAATTTTGAACCATGCTTGAGGATGGAGAGCTGCCCACAACACTGTCAAAATCCCCATGCATAAGTTTAACACATTAAATCAAACATATTACACTAAAGTGACAGACCCAATGCGTCATTGTTAAATGGACAACACAAAGTTAATTACCTGATTATTTTTGTTTTTTTAGGGAACTACTCTCCAGGAAGTGTCAAAGCACAAAAGCAGGCAGTTTAAGCCTGGAAGTGTAGCAATAGCTTTTAGAGCTGTGATCTGTTCTTATTTATTTATTTATGTTAAGTGTCGTTTTGAGGTCAGTCTCACAAACAAGCAGCTAACGTTAGTTTGCCGCCGCATGTAATTTAAATAGCGAATGTGTTTATGTTCCGATAAAGGGACGTCATATTTTCGTAAATATCTGACTAGCTTAGCAGCTAACATCAATAACAGAAACCCCCATAAAAATTAAACGTTTAAACAAGAGATCGATCCGACATAACTAGTATATTACAATTAATGCGAATAAAACGTATCCGCATTGGAACTTACAAACTGGAGTTTAAATCCTTTGTTCCAGCCAAAACGATCCTTAACGTATACAGCTGCGTTGAGGGGAGTCCAGCACAATAATCAGTGATGTCACGTTATATTGGAGAACGAATCTGTTGAATCAGACCTTTTCAATGAATCAAAGAAATTGGTCTGACAGTACTACGATACTACTTCTTTGCATTCAGTCACATTTAACCATAGACGCATTTAACCAGGAACCGCCTCTGTCAGACATGCATAATGAGCCGAGAACGTAGCCCTCAATCGGGTCACGGGGTGAGGGTCTATAGGACCCCAATCGACTTTTACTTAATTAAAAAAAAGGTTCCCTTCATCTCAGTGGAATAAGATTTTGTGACTTTTCATACATTATCTATCTATATACACACACAAAAACTGGGTTTGATTCGGTTGTTCTGAAGGCATGTAAAAAAATGTTTACACTTCAAAATACATTTTAGATTAACTTTTAGACAAAACGTGTAAGGGTCACAACTCTTTGTTACACAAAGATCTTATTTATTTATTTATTTATTCATTTATTTGCGATTTTCCAAAAGGCTATGGGGAAAATGCATAGCTTTTCGATCAAGGGAACCCATGCGCCGCTAGCTTCCGAGTTGTCCTGGAAAGAAACTATATGAGGATATATGCGCATATATGAAACCTATATGCAGTTTATATGCACATATATGCTGCATATATACAGCATATATGCACATATATGATAATATATATGCTGCATATGTGTGTATATATGACACATATAGGCAATTTTAGGTGCATATATGCACATATATGATAATATATATGCTGCATATGTGTGTATATATGACACATATAGGCAATTTTAGGTGCATATATGTGCATGCAGGCCATATAGGTCTCCTGCATTGCTTCTTTATATCCACACATAAGTGCTATATACAAGAGTATCCTACACTCTAAAAAAATGCTGGGTTGTTTTAACCCAATTTTGGGTCAAATATGGACAAACCCAAAATGCTGGGTTAAAAATGTAATGTAAAAATGTAACCCAACGGCTGGGTTAGTCCATATTTGACCCAAAGTTGGGTTAAAACAACCCAGCATTTTTTAGAGTGTATACTGTAGCTCATGGCAGGATCTGGTCATTTGTAGCTCATCCACTCTAAACAATGCTGGGTTGTTTGAACCCAAATTTGGGTGAAATATGAACAACCCCAAATGTTTGGTTAAAAATTTAATTTCAAATTTTAACCCAAATTCAACTTTCACTTTCACTTTTTCAACTGTACATTTCTTTAATTGCATTTTTAACCCAACATTTGGGTTTGTCCATGTTTGACCCAAAGCATTTTTAGAGTGTATATGTCACTATATTGCTCAAATAAATAAATAAATATTTATATACATATCAGAATGACTTAGTGGAAAAGAAGGAAATGTATAACAAAAGGGTTTGTTGTTTTTTCATTTTACCAAAAAGCCCTTTTTCCAATTTCAAGTCACTTTCCCATACACATCCACACATTCACCGATACATCCACCAAATGCAATGCAAATTGCAATGTTTTCTGTATTGTCTGAATGCAGTTTTTTTTCTGGCTGAAAGGTCATTACAGTCAAAATGTAGCAAAAAAAAAAAAGTGAATAGAACGTACATTCAAATAATCATCATCATCCCACCATCCCACCATCTATCTGAGCAATTCACAGTGGTTAATAAATTCGAATGCTGCTGCACTGCCGATTGGCCGCTACAGCGCCCCGTAGTTGATGACGTCACCCGCCTAACGCTTGACGTTATCCGTATCCGATGAGATGAAGTCGAGTTTCGCGCCGGAAGATAACGGCTGGGAGTAAAAATTGCGATTTCAGCATTGGAGATCCTCTAAGTCCTACTTATCACCAATCGTAAGTATTCCTAATTTTATATTTATTTGCAGGGTGGAAATTGCGGTGGCAGAGAAGTATAAACTTAGCATTTATTTTTTTGCCAAACACACCTGTTTCAGCCCATACACTTCCTATGTTGTTAGCTGGTGAGGTAACATAACGTTACTGTGGGTGCTAAAATAACTTAGCCGTTGATAAGATTCAATTTAGAATTAACGTGTATTTATTTGTTTCTTTCTGGAGGAATTCGTAGAGGGTTAACAAAAGTCATGGCCTAGAGAACATAACGTCATGAGAATAAATGATACTTCTCTGCCAACGGCTCAAGAAGGCAATCGGCTCCAGAAAAAAAAAAAAATACCTGTGGAGTTTGAATTTGGTCGAAATTGGTGAAAGAAAGAGCCGTATCAATGGGCTTGCCTTTACAGTTGCAGGAAATGTCTTTCAAATAGTAAACATTAACGTTAGGGCATTACTATTTTGATTAAGTGATTGTAATTGTTTTTTTTTCTTTATATAACCTCTTTCTAGAATTACCTCAAATGAAAAGTTACCTCGCCATTATTGCTCAAAAAGGTAAGTTCCTCTGATTTTGCTTTTTAAAATTGTTTCTCTAGCAGAGCTGTAGAGACTTGTGATGTTGGGCTGATTGATATTGTTAATTATTTGATTTAAGTTATTTGCACTTTAATTTATTGAAGAGAATAACTTTTATTTTTCTTCTATGAACAAGACTGGAAGGAGTCCTGTTGAGGATTTAGATTCCTCCTCTTTTGAAAAGTGCAACCGGTGAGTAACCCCCTTGAATTTTTATTTATTTATTAATAAATATCCCCATCCCCACCCCGACACCCTATCCTCCTCTCCTTTAAGAACATTTAGGGCAATTATTAATTTGTTTCATATTATTATTTTGTGTAATATTATTATTTTGTTTCTTTATCATTAATCTGCATTCATACATAAAAACATATAAACTATTGGGAAGCTAAGCATAAGAATCAATATGAAACAATGCCAATAAATGAATAAATTATTTTTCAGATTGAAGTTATAAAGGGCTCTGGGGTGTTTTGCCAGGCAGAAGTGTGGAAAGCAGCCCTCCTTGCCACCTCTGCTACTGCCATGGTGTGGAATCTGCTGCTGGGCACATTTGATCTGGAGACTTTGCTGAAAAACAACCTGAATGGTACAAAACATTCTCCTAATCTCTTCTGTCCGTAAAAAACAATTAATATTCTGTGGAATAAATTATGTTTGTGTGCGGGCATACCATCGCTTTTTTACTTGCCATTTTTGTATTTCCTTGCACCTCAAGAAAATGTGATGTGTATATAAAAAAAGTATTGCTTTCACAAGCTTCATTTTAACCCCCTTTTATAATAATTTTGAAATTTTACTTTAAGGTGGGAAGCCAACCAGAGGGGATGGGGAGCAGCTGGTCGCCCTTGACCAAATTAAAAAAGCATCATTATTGGTGAGTAAATGTATAAAAGTTTTGTTTTCCCTTCTCAACGCATTAGGATTTTATAAGTTCACCACTTTAACCATAGCCTACTTGTATCAATGTTTATTAGGCATCAATTGAGACTGTATAAGGGATTATTGTTACTATATCTACTTGGAACCTATAATACTAATTCATCGCTTGCTCAGTTCTTGATCCTAACTTTCCTTTTCTTAAGCCACATTTCAGATTTTTCAGAATCTTCAGAATCTTCCAATTGACATGTTTACATGACGCATTTTTTAAAATGATCAACCTTTTATCAAAAAATATGTGTCCGATCTAGGGCTGCAACAACTAATCGATAAAATCGATTATAATCGATTATGAAAATCGTTGTCAACGAATGTCATTATCGATTAGTTGGTCTGATTACGTCACGGGGATTGTTTACATGGAACATGCGCTTCTTACATGCGCTTCACGAGGCGCACATGCAGTCTCTCTCCCTCGCCGCTCTACCCTGTCTCGCGCGCGCAACACGGACGGTTTGGAGCACATTATCTTCTGTCTCGCATGCGCGCTCTTGATTCCGTGAGTTTGAACTAATTTGCGGGCATCAGGAAACCGCTATCAATATGCAGTATACACGAAAATCATTCACCTTTCGGTGAATTCGCCGTTTTGAAACCAAAATAGGTGACCTACATTAATCGTGTATACTTTATGAAGCCATGCTATAGTATAATGTGAGAGAGAAATGTATATTTAAGTCATTAAATTCAAGTTAACCTAAGCTTTTCCCTCCACTGCGGCTGTCAGTCATTCTCTATGCGGTGTTCAAACAGCGCGTCGCGTTACAACAGTTAACATGATGATCTCTTTCCAAGATGATTCAATGTTGTTATTATTATAATTGATCCATAGATAAAGGTCTATGATGGTTTTTCTATCTTGCTAGACTTGTATTGCTGTAACTTAATCACTTTCTACTGAGTGTCTGTTAGATCACAACACTAGAGTAGAGTCGGCGCAGTATAATTGTTCTTCACGTGCACAGTAGCCTAACTGAAATTTAAAACTGTTAAAAGAAAAGGCTTAATAAACTATTGCAAAGATACTGTATAATACACAGTCAATATGTCTTTCTCTTTCCTTGGTGCTTTTAACTTTAATGCGGCGGACACTGAAGAGCTGCGCGCCGCCCTGTGACTCCGTGTTGCTTCAAGCGCATCATTCAGCGCTCGCGATGCGCATAAGCACTTTGTGCAGCTCTTTCATAATCATGTCATAATACTTTTGCGCAATGAAAGCTTATTAATAGCCTTTCTTGTTCTGTCCTATCTATTATATTTTGCTTCCTCACTAAACAGCTGTGCTTTACATTTAAAACAGTTGTGCATCTGATTTTTACGATGTTTTTCATGAATGTATAACAACAATACAAAGAGCAATGTGTACGTTTTACCAGAGTTAGTGCTACACTTATTGTCTCTTATTTGTTCCCCACTAAGGAATGTTTTTTTCACTAAATGTTTAGATTTTATAAAATTATTGTGCACTTGTGATATTTCTAGGCTAAGTTTTGCTGAGTTATCCACTAATCTAGTTTACAATAGCATTTTTGTCTTAGGTTATGGTCATATATATTTTTTTTATTTGTTGTTTTTCTTTATAATGAAGTTGTCTGTATTAAGTAGATTGTTTAACACACAAAAGAGTGTGGTTTTTAGGGTTTTATTTTGTTATAATAAACCAAAAAATGGAATATAATTTTTTATCCGATTAATCGATTAATCGAAAAAATAATCGTCCGATTAATCGATTATCAAAATAATCGTTAGTTGCAGCCCTAGTCCGATCACATCTGTACTGTAAGCACTTTGGGTTCCTGATGAAGTACTATATTCTTCTTCTTCTTCTTCTTATTATTATTATAGTGTCTTATTATTTTTGTCTTCTCTAGATGCTACATTGAAGAAGTGGCCGTCAGCCAGCCGAGGGGAGGTGGGCACGTCTATCAATTCAAAGCTCATGGAGCTGAGAAGATCAAAAAGATTTTTTTTCTATCCAGTTTTTTTTGTCTTATTTTTGTTTTTGTACTATTTGATCTTAAGTAAATAAATAATCTAAATGCATACATTTTGGACTATTATTTATGTTGCCTAGTAGCTATGGATTTTAATAATTATTCTAATATAGGTAAACATGTTGGTGCATGTATAAATGCACCTATATGTGCACATATATGCGTACATACATGTACATATATAGGTACATGTATGCATGTATATATGCACCTATATGTGTACATATATGCATGCATACATGTACATATATAGGTTCATATATGCACAAATATATGCACCTATATGTGTACATATATGCGTGCATACATGTACCTATATAGGTGCGTATATATGTGTACATATATGCACGTATATATGTGCATATATGTGCATATATGTACATATAATATAGGAAAACGGCCAATTTTATATATGTCACATATATTAAAAACATATATCAAAACCTATATTAAAACATATATGTTTATATAGGTTTTTTCCATGTGGGGCTACAAAGTGACGTCATCACTTCGGCACTCTATTGAAATAATAATAATGATGTGTGATAAATCATTTAGCGATTAGCTAATACTGCAATGATCAATGATCTAAAAGTATGAATTGCCACATTAGATTTCATGGTGAATTCAAATAACAGACACACTATATATATATATATATATATATAAACTTTTAAAACAATGTATAAAATTAAGACTTTCTGCAGTGGCAGGTTTTACATGTTTATGGATAAAAAAAATGACACAATAACAAGGTGATTTATCAAACTCTCACAACAGCATTGATTTGCTACTAAAAAAATCATGTTTCACAATAGAAGGCATTAACTATAACAAACTGACATAAAATCTGTTGTGATTCACATTAGCTTAGAGCAAGAACACACTGCATCGTCTTACTGGAAGAGTTTGTTCCTGCGGAGGCAAGTGCAACTCACATCCCAATCACTGTCATTGGTCCAAATGGACCAGACAATTATAGCGAGACACACTGTCAGGGTGTCTCATCTACAGCACCAATGTATACACAGTGGCTGTTCCACTCCATGGCATCATACTCTTGATGTGACAACTACCACAAAAGAGGAGAGCAATCAGAAGATCTTCAGTGTCAGGTAGGAGATGCAAATTCAGTCACCACCGACACCAAAGAGTTCAAGCAGCTCTTTGCAGTCTGGGTCAATAAGATCAGCAGGCTTCTCCCCACAGTCATTTTCAGCCTCAGTGTCTGCACCCAAGGAAAGTAAGAACCTGAAAACAAAAACAATTTTCCCCAGTGGTTTTACAAATCTCACACATTTTGGAGGTCAAAGAATATTGCAGGTAAAATATAGCAGCCTTTCAAGTTCTTAACTTGAACTAAATGGTCTTTATTTTCTAAATAGTAATTATCTATGAAATGTCCCCCTCAAAAAAAAAAAAAAAAAAAAACATAAAAAATTGAGCAGTTCACTTACTTAGCTATCTCTGGAAAGCCATCACTACAGGCCATATGGAGGGGAGTCCATCCGTCCTCGTCTCTCTGGATGATGTCAGCCCCAAATTTTACCAGAAGCTTCACACAATCCAGGTTTCCAGATAGGACTGCCTCATGAATGGCTGCCATGCCTAGACAATTAGCAAGAAGTTAATTTTAAAGGACAGGCTCAGACAGCACAATTAGCAGTGGATTAAAGCTTGAGACCCTGACGATTATGTCATCAAGCATACATGAGCTGCCTAGACAAAAATGGCATTGCTAATGCAATAGGATATAAGCCTTTATTTAAAGATCACGGGAATGCTTTTGTGATCAGTATTGCATTGTAATTACTTTCATGCAGAGTATAGTTGATTCTGAACAAAGATTTACTTTCCCTTGCAGACTCAGTATACAAGTAGTTGGTTTTCCTACCTGAATGGTAAATGGTGTCCAGGCGCACTCTTCTGGTTGTAAGGAAGCGTGCAATTCTCTCCAGCTCTCCTTGACGGACATAATCCTGAAACACTATGTCATTTGGAAAGTGAACATTGCGAACAGATTTGATGGAAGTCAGAGAACGAGTGCATGACACTGGACCAGTGGCATTTGGCTTGCAGCCCTCAAAGCGCATGGTGTGGGTGACTGGACATTGGTAGAACTTCATTCTTTAATGTTCTTGTTTCCGAGATAGGATGAGAATTGTGTACCAATTCTCAATGTGGCTAAAAGGTTCAGCAGAATAGGGTATTAAGAAGTTTCTTCTTTAAAGTTTTTTCCAAGGTGCTGTTCTAGATGATAGCAGCTGCTCAGTCTCCCTGTTCGTCTCTTAATGTAGTGATCCTTCCTAGACAGTCGCTGAGAGGTTGGTCTGAAGTAAGGGCTTGTGTGTACCCTATATATACCCTGCTCTATAGACTATATTAAGAGGCTGTCGTCTCATAGCTCAGATGACTGAACTGAAAGACGAGTGGGTACGGTCTGAAGTCACACCCCAACAATACTCAGCCAACTTAGCAATGTGATCCGTAACCTTGTTTTCATGCAACACATTTGAACCAAGTCTTGGCCTCTCCTCCTCCACCTGCCTGTTGTCACATAGAAAGGAACTCAACAGTAATTTCCAGTACACAGTGAATATGGCATAAAGGTGGTTTATATAATGCCTGCCAAATGTAAAGGTAATGACATTTTGAATTAAATATTTAAAAATAACACTTAAAAATAAACAGCCAGCAAAAAAGATGCCCTTGCCCGGAAGACTATTTTCAGATGACTGTTTAATCACATTAATGTGTCATGATTTCTGACAGCGGTATATATACTTTGTCAACATGACTTTCTTTTTTGGAAGATGAGTTAGCACCAGTTCCAGCATGTTTTGCATGAAATGCAGAAAGCAACCCCAAATGGTTAAATACCCTGGATATCTTCAATCAAAATAGACAATTAAATAATTTACTCAACCTCATGATATTCCAAACTATATTTGTTTTAACTGGAGTTTTGTAGATTGCTAATGCAGCTTTTTTTTCCCTCAAGGAGATTTCACTATGCCCATTAATGTCAAGGATTGAAAAAGGATTGAATACATTTGTGGGAGGACCAGCTGGACTTTCAATCATTTTGTGAATTTATATTTCATTCTGCCAAAGGTTTTATATTTAAGAATATACTAAGAATATTTTTCTTAGAATTATTGCAACTGAATGAAAAAAAAATTGAAGCTGCAGTAAAAATATTCAGGAAAAGTATTCAGTTAATAAAATAAATAATTCCTCACACAAACCATTTTGTATATGGACACAACTTTTGTTGCCATTCTTAAAGCTTAAAAGCCATGGCCACTATGAATGGTTTTGTACATTTTAACAACTACTTAATTCTCATGTCCCATGGAAAAAAACACCATACAGGTCTGGAACAGCAGGGGCTGAATAATTTAGGTAACACTTTACAGTAAGGGTACATGAATTATCAGGAATTTATATATAAATTAATGCATGAATTATGCATTCATTCATGCATTAATATCTCATGAATCACCAGGAACAAACACAAGTTCAACCCAAGTTGACTTCATGAATGAACACCTTAATTAAAACATTAACTAACATGAGATCATCATTAATAATGATATATTACTCATGATCATGATGATTGTTCTTTGTCTAGGTCAGTGACCTAGTCACCACTTTAGTCAAGGGGCCACACACATGATGAAGTCATTAATAGATAATGCTTAGTTAATGATGACTACTGTATTGGACAGACACCAAAATAGACCAATCATCACAGCTCATAGCACACAAATTCTGTTAATCAAAAACAGAAGTAATCATTAACTAAGCATTATCCATCAATGACTTCGTGTGTGGCCCCTCAACTAAAATGGTGACTAGGTCCTTTGAAACACTGATGAACAACATGCTATTAATGGCAGAATAACTGTGAAGAAAAAAAAAAACCATTGTGATCATGCGTAATAAATCAATTCATGATAGTGTGCTCATCTTAGTTAATGTTTTAATCAAGGTGTTCATTCCTGAACTTATGAAACACTTTGAACATGTCAGTTCCAGATGATTCATGTGATATTAATGCATGTATGAATGCATAATTCATGCATTAATCCATGAATTCATGATAATTCATGTACCCTTACCGTAAAGTGTTGCCATAATTTATTTTTTAGGAAAAACTTATGCAAAAAGTGCAGAGCACAACCTTTAATCTTCATTTAGAAGATGCCAACTTACTGAATCAGTCACGTTAAAACACAAAATACAAGAAATAAAACAGAACCCAACAGTTTTATCACCATTTTGTTTATTTGGCCACCAGTTTACTTTATCAGTCAATTTAAATGCAATGGAATGCTTGCTCTCAAACATGTTTCAAAACCCAAACTCCTCCCAATATAATAAACAAACCAACCCTTTCTTCAAAAGTCACCCCTGAAATTCACTCCTCTTAGAAAAATAAAGACCAACAACATGAGGGTTAACCAAATCACACACACTCATAACCCTGACATAACGGGCAACGACTGATTAAGCTGGTTACAAGCACACTTTCTCCTCCCCATCAAGCTGACCACTCAGACGTTGTCAACCGGCAATGATAAGGAATCTTCCACTAAAAATGGAAAGCAGGGAAGGGTATGGGAGATGAGCTGTCCTTACAAGATGACAAATCTTTGCCATTTCAGTAACTGATATGGAATCTCTGATGGCACTGGTTGAAGTGCAAAAAAGGTTTCGAATCATCCTCCCAGATGACCAGAAAGCTGAGAGGGCCAACTCTGCCCCAGGTAAAGAAAAAAAAAAGAAAAAAGAAAAAAAGTGCCGTTTCTTGGCCCTTCAGTATATGCAAGCTTATAAAAATGAAAATATAAAATTAAATAAAACAAGTTCTCCACTTTTTCATTTTTAAGAAATCAGTAGCAGGTGTTAAAGATTTTGAAAAATAGAAAATGACAACGAGGTCTGACAGTAAAGGAGCAGGGAAGGTACCTTAGTTTGTTCTCAGCTAAGTTCTGCATGCACTGTAATATCAGCTTATTATAATAATTTTATTTCCACCCCATGAACATACAGGGCACATACAGCTCCTGTGCCCTGAAATGTCACCTTCATTAAGATAACAGAATCAAGGCAGAATAACTAGCCTCCCCCTCCTTCATGGGTAGAGTATTACCAGTATTAAGCTGAAAAATCTTAAAATCATAGTCCCAGGATCATTAATTGAGTTAGCGGACAGAAAAAGTTAAACAGATTACCATTACAATTGAACATAAAAACTTGATAGTTTAATGCCAGAAATCCCTGTTAAAAAAAAAAAAAAAAAAAAAAAAACGCTTCAAGAGATCGTTGTGGGCAGAGAGACACTTCTCTGGGCTGCAGATGGTTGGCCAGGGTGGTAATTACAGTACTGGCTGACAAAGGACCCTGTTACGCCCAGTGGATGTACGATTAGTTAGGAAAAGCTTTAGTGTTCACAGACAGGGAGGTTTAAAGTGGAGGTGGTGGTGGTGAAGGGTTTTGTCTCGCCTTTTCCCTCCTGACTCCTATAACTCATCGTGTCCCTCTTCCACATCAGAATCATCCTCCTCTGCATCATCCAGATCAAGATCCTGTGGAAAGCGCAAGATATTTATTTTAGAATCCATGTAAAAACAAGGCTGTTTTGGTACAATGGAAACTACTTTTATTGCCCACCAAAAGTTTTTCACAGCCAATTATGACCAGAAGGCCATTTGTACTAGCATGAATTCAATTGATCAAAACTAATATGACCTGCCACAAACACTCTAGTAATCCCTGCAGGATAAAAACAAGTGCACGATACATTCACGGGGCAGAGATCTGTTGTCAACAGTGTTCGGTTGCAAAGCCCATTCCTCATAGCTGGAACGTGTGGACTAGCTATCGTTGACCAACTTTGTCCTGTCAGTTGTGGTAATAAGTGGTGGGGGGAGATCATGGGATCATGGGGTGGGGCTGAAGGTAAACAGTTGAGTTGGGAATTAGTGGCAATAATAATGTTCTACAATTAGACTTGCCCAAAGAGGAAGCAGGGAGTCTAGAATGGATTTATATGATCCAAGATTGAGACGAATGTTATCAGTTTAGGCATAAAGACTCGGGACTGATCTGGACATCAGCGAAGACAGAGTAAAAGGATATAAGGTGGAAGTTTATAATTGAATGACACCCAAACGAAAGGTTGATGAAGGGCCACTTTAATGAACTCTGCATAACCAAGGGCCTGTTTACGCCTGGTATCAAGATGAGTTTTGGTCGATCAGATCACAAGTAGACTAGGGAAAAACACCCGTTTATAGCAGATTTAGTTTAAGCTCTGATAGCCACAAGACCACTCCAAATTCTGTGAATGCATGTTAGAAATAAGGAATGGTGAGACAACACTGCTTGGTATGTTTTTAGTCTTCAAACCAAACTGATCTTCAGCCAACAAGGGGTGCTTCTCATTTCTTATTTGGGCATCTTTGTTTCCTTTCCACACTTCCGTCGCGTCCTACAGGGGGAGGAGCTGAGACATGAGGGAAGGAATCAAGGAAAGAAAAAAGGAGGATGGAGGAATCGAATAAAAGCTTTTATCTACATTGAAATACTTGATCACTCAAGCGTCAATCCACAGCATCATCAGCAGCGCTAAAAGGATCCGACCATGTTGTTGAAGTTTGGTTATTTTAATAAATTCATAAATAATAATAAAGATAGGCTACACCAGGGTTTCTCAAACTCTGTCCTGGAGGGCCGCTGTCCTGCAGAGTTTAGCTCCAACCCTGATCAAGCACACCTGAGCAAGCTAATCAAGGTCTTCAGGATCACTAGAAACTCACAGGCAAGTGTGTTTGATCAGGGTTGGAGCTAAACTCTGCAGGACAGCAGCCCTCCAGAACCAAGTTTGAGGAACCCTGGGCTACACTGTTGAAATGTGAGATGTGTGGTTTATATAAACTGCATAGGTAAAGTATAAATTAAAATGACTGTGACCGATGTGAAGGGGGAGGAGAACTGATATGTGTGTCACGTTTAGTCAATAAAACACTTCCGCATAGGATACAACTGTGCACATTTTACAAGATGAGATATTTGTCAATGACACTGAAGCTGCATGGAGCAGAGAAGACCCTTTCAGTTAATTTTAGCAACATGAAATAAATGTTGTTTTTTTTATTTCCACAAACAACAAAAGCAAAGACAGAGGGGGCTGTGCCATGGTGGGCAAGTAAAGGACAAGCGAGCAAACGGACAACCGCAGCAAGCCTAGTTCAAATGCATTCGACCACATAAGAGTCTACACCACGAATGTAGAATGTGGACGAGCTCAAAAGAATTTAGACCAGGTTTA